TTATCTTCTATGCTGCTGAATTTTTAAAAAAAGTTACATAGAGAAAGCGAAATTGTTAAAACCAAAAGAAAATCATTTAAAAAAGAAATGTGTACTATGTATACTAAATAACTTTTACAATGTTTAAAGAAAATGTTTCAATTTAAATATTTGTATTGACCATTTATCTTTCAACCCTTAAAAGTCATTTCTTAAAATTGTTATGTACTACTTTCATTTTTTCTCTTTTATTTTCATTTTTCCTATTTTTATGTATTTTTACCTTTCCTCTTCAACAATTGTGAATGGTTTAATAAAATAAAGTCAGATCACAATAAACTGACATGTGGCTTAAAAGTAGGTATGTTTCTAGACCATAGAGTGAAATCCTTAGTAGAGCTGTTGCTTATCAGTATAGCTTCTTTCCTTTCAGGCTCGAAAATGTAAACTGCAACCCCAGGTGATGTACAGCTTCATCATTCCTCAGACATATTCTAACACTAATGATAATTGAAATGTTCTTTTTAGATGTTGCATGGGCTGAGCCTACACACTCAGCTGATAGAACTATTAGTAAGAATCCATACAATAAAAAGAAAAGCCTAGTATGTTTCAGAAATTGTCCGGAAGGTGGAGATCCTCACTGTACGTTTTGAAATCTTCAGTAGACTACAATTTCTATTTGTTGACTCCTTTATTAAAGTACTTTGATGTTGAAAACTGTCTACCATTGATTGTATTCCAGGAAATTTTAATTAGCTGGTTATACCAAAATTTAAAAATGTATATAATGTAAACATTAAGATACAACTTTTGTAAGCAAGGGTAAATATAATCTACCTATTTAAAGTTTTTAAAACTTCTTTGTTGAATTTTAGACAATAAAATATAAAGTACAAAATGCAAAGAAAGTTGTCTTACTCATAATAGGATCTTCACCTTATGATGTCTACAAATGTATACCTATTGCATTTATACACAATGCTTTCATCAGATGGGAAGACATGAGCTTATTCTGAAAGGAGGTTATGAATGTAGATCTTTGTCAAGGTCAAAGAAGGACATAGGCACAAAGCAGGAAGACAGAGGAAAAGGGGAGCAGAGGAGTTCATATATACAGTAGGAGTAATTCCAGATCCCTTAAGAATGGATTCACCAAATCATCATGTTGTACACCTTAAACTTACATGATATTATGTTAATTATATGTCAATAAAGCTAAAAAAAATCAATGGATTTCAAGCTAAAATATTTTTTTTTACAGAAGATGTGTCTATGTCTAGTTCTTACATCTTTTCCTTTCTTTGACACCAAATTTGACAACGGACTCAATTATCTCACAATAATGTTAGATGTCAGCATCCACGTAAGCCTCTGTCTATCTATACTTGCCAGTAGCTCCTGAAATGCTTTCTCCAACTCTCTTTGTGAATTCATTCATGGGAAACACATGTCAGTACAATTCTAAAAGGCTTTGCAGACATTAAAATTCATTTGTCTTTAATTTTAAGCTTTAACTTTCGTTAAATGTCCAACAAAAACTCAGCCAAAGACCTAAACTTCCACAGAAAGCCTGCTCTTGATTCACTAATGAATCAAATTCGGAACCCTGGAGTGTGATTGTTCCCCTGCAGCTAGAAAAATGTATTAAGTTATCTCTAACATTATTTAATGAAATACCTCCATTGTGGGCTAAAAGTAGCAGAGCCCTTCTCATGAGAGCCACATTACAAAATGAAAATGCCTGCACTGAGAAATGGCAACTATTCTGAGCCAGGAAAAGGGCCCTTTATAAGCAGTGTTCATGGGAGGAAAAAAACATGAGAATTTCCACAAAAGTAACTTTCAATATGATCCAACCAACAGAACAAAGCGTATACAGATTACGGAAACACCACAGAGAAGAAGTGACTTGTTTTGTCAATGAAAGACTCCATGTCAATGAAAGACTCAGATGGGATACGTACCCGTTTCCTTCTCTTTTATATAATAAAATTTAAAACTTTGATGGACTTACAGTTTACTTAGAGAACAAGCAGTTCTCAAAATATAGCTATTTGTTTCCCAAAGAATGACACTGTGTGAATTCTTTGGGACAGGAATCTACTCTTTCTTCATGCTTCCTAAACACCTTGTGGGGATGGTTGAGGTGAAGAAAGCAGAGAGAAGATGAAATCCTGCCTCACCACTGAGAATAGGACGCATGAGCTTCCTCACTGGAACACCAGGAACAAGACAAGAAAGCCATTGTTCTTCTGACATCAGAAATGTTGGGGGAAAGGTTTTAGAGGGGCTGGAGTCAGAAGTCGGTGATGAAGGTAGCCCAGCAATACAAGTAGAGAGAATATTTTATTAATTAGAAGATTCACCAGTTTAGTGAATTCAGTACACGTTAAGAGATAGTAGAGTAGGAAGGCGTTCAACAAGTAACCAAATGCTGCCACCAGTCCCTCCTCAATCTGTGGTGGCTGAGCTGCAACTTTATGTTCTCTGTCTATCAAGACATTAGTGCTGCTTTAAAATTCTGCTTAATTCACCAATCCTTGCAGCCAGTGCCAGTCATGAAGACTGATTGGAATGATGAAACTTATTTGACATCACAGGCATAGTAGTCAAGAGACCTAGCTTTGGTGTCAGTACCAAATTAGAATCGACTCTCCACAATGTACCAGCTCCATGGTCTTGAGCAAGTTACTTAGCCTCGATTTGCTGTCTCAAATACGGGATAATAGTTCTATTTTAGATTGTGGTCAGGATGAGAAAAGAGCTCAGCATAGAGTAAATGCCAAAAAAAGTATGGCTATTATTATCCCTTTAAAATAGACTTTCTTCACATGAACAAAATGTTATTTATATTATATACACCATTCTTCAGAGAGTGATCAGCCTTCAGTCACAGACAGGTGTTGATGCATCAATTGTTTCAGAAGTGGAGCTAAACAGACAGGGGAGTAAGAATTTTCTTCTAGAGTTTCCATATTTCTGTGCTTTTCAGGTCAATCCATTGGTCAATGTCTATCCTGTGGTGTTAGTAAACATAAGTATCATTATCCATATCAACTGTCACTTATGGGGGGAAATGACCATTTCCTCACTAATTCAATCATTCATCTGACATGTACCAAACTTGTCCTATGTAGCCTACACTGTTCTATGTGCTAAAGATACAAAGTCCATGATATCATAACCCCTGAGGCAGAGGCAACTCACTATCTTGTATGAGGGATTGCTTTGTCAAAAGCATATAGTTATCATTATAGTTTTATTTAGAATGCAATATTTTAAAAAAAATTTGCAGATTAAATAATTTTTACAGAATATTTATTTCACAGAATACTGCATTACTATTAAAATGATATCTTCAAACTATAATGATATAATATTAGTGATATATTATTAAAAGAATAAGTAATATAAACTGTGTATATACAGATATACAGGAGAATACCATTATAAAGAACTATATTTTCTATCTATCAATGTACCAATTGAGGGAAAGGAGGAGACAGATGCTAAAATACTGCTGTTTATGAGGTTACTAGACCTTTTATTCCATTCTTAGGTACAGACAGTACAAAAAAAATTATATGGATATACAATGGCAAATATTTAATAATCTATTTTCATAAACTTCATAATTTCTTCTTCAATGAAAGACACTATTAGCAAAGTAAAAATTAGCAGATTGGGAATATATTGAGAATGGACAGCTGTATGTCTAAAACTGACAAATAAACTATCTAAAATACACCTGAATGCCTGCAGATAAACCAAAAAGAGAAGCAAAATTCCATAATAAATCAACAAAGAATGTGAATTCACATAAGGTAGTCCAAATGTTCAATATGAAGAGATCTTCAAATTCATTAATAATTTGAAACATAAAACTAAAATTTGTTATCCATTTGTACTCATATATTTGGCAAACATTAAAATGCTAGATGTTGTCATGTATTGGTAGAGATGTGATAATAATAGTTCCATTCTTGTTGTTATTCTTGAAAATATTCTAATGGTTATTCACATTAAAATTACATATATTCTAAGCCCAGTGATCCAACTGTTAAAAAATGTTTCATCACATCTATAAGAGGATGTATTTAAGAATATACATTGCAGCAGTCTGTATTCAGTTCAAGATGGAGGTAACACAGAAGTCCATAAGTAAAATGCAGAGGTGAAATTTTAATTTTGATGGAGTTATTTTTCATTTACCTTAAATTTTGGCCAATATTTTAAAAAGAAAATATGTATATTGACAAGTATTTAGTTAATTTTATTCTAGCATTCAATTCTAACATCACTATTCTTTGTAATATAGAAAACAAATTTCCACTCCACTAATTTTTCACAATGAGAGTTTTCTTTCACACCTCATGATGCCATCTTGAATAGCAGATGCTTTCAAAGTTAGAAAAATATCACCACCTGTGAATCACCAGTTTCCATCACATCCATTCACTTAAAAAATTCAAGCTACAAGGTTTTGATCAGATAAAAGTGCCTTGCATTTGCTTCCTTGGCATATGAATGCTCTTAATATTTTCCAGCATGCGTGTTTCTGCTCTTTTGCTTTATTCTCTCACTCTTTATACTTCCATAGCCCCTCTCCTTGTACCTGCTCTGACTCTCAAATCTATACACCCATCCAGACCTCTCCTCTGAGCCTCAGATGCCAGCTCTTTTCTGAGTCTTTTCACCTACCAAAGGCCTGAACATCTTAAACTTAACATTGTAATGACTACACACATCATATGTTATCCCTAAAACATCCCTGGTTGTGTTTCTTATTGCAAATAACTTTAACTTGGTCATCTAACTAAAAACCTCGGTGTCATCTTTCATGTTTTTTATTTCACACTTCTCATACAATCAATCAGCATATCCTGCTTACTTCAGCTGCTAATTATTTCTGAATTTAGTTTTCATCACCACTCCCTCTAAACCAAACCCTCATTATTTCTGTAACTTACTTGGAGAGAGGAAGAGTTTGTTTCCTGCTCACCCCACTTTTCATTGTCCCCCTCAGACCTCTCTTCCAGTTAGTCTTCAAAATGAGTTCTCTGAAAAACAATGTGACCTTATCATTCCCATACTTAAACCTCTTCACTGATCTTCAACTTCTAAGGAATAACATCTAAGACCCCTACCAAATCATTCAAGTCTTTCATTTATGGAATAATACAGTTGATTAAAGTAATGATCTTTAAACTTTTATGCTGCATTGCCCTATTAGTAAATGGGGCTATATACTTATTTATAATGTATATTATAAGTATATATTTAGTTTATTTCTTTATACTATCATAAGTATATATTTATGTGTAACTATGTGTACATAATTGTTAATATGTTATGAATATTACAAAATATTCACCAAAATCTGAGATTAAAATAAACATAAATAGAAGTTCTAATATTTTTCTTATACTGGCCTCATAGATCATATTGTGTATTCCTGAGACGTATGCAAACCCACTTTGGTCATCACTGGATTAAATAGTGTTGCTAATAAGGTCCCAGTTTCAACACCTGTTTCTGCCAGTTAATACCTTTTTATATATCATAACAGACTATACCCTTCATCTAAGTCAGACATGTTAAAAATGTGCGATTGAATCAGAGTACCTTGGGATTTGAAAGGACTTTAATGGTATAACCACATCCAAGAAGTGGTATGGAAAAGCATATGAAAGGATCAGTGTAAATTTATCTCCACAGCTGCAACCATATAAAGCACCTCAGAAATGTATGTATAATATCATCTTCATATATGAATCATTACCCTGTGACTCAAAACCAACTCTGAGCTTTTATCTTTTATTTCAAATACCCCTCTCATTTAGCTAGCTATTTGACTTACTGTTTTTCAGATACGTCATAAACTTTTTCCAAGTTTCACATTTTCCCTGGAACCAATTCTCAACCTGAAAATCCCTCATCTCTCTTTTTTGACTAGATGTGCACTGATATATCATTATAATCCTCATTCTTCCCTGATTACTTCACTTTGTCCTCTTTCTTTCACTCAGTTCTCTCAGTTTCGTCAGTATTGAGCTTCAGTCTTGTCTATTTCTCTGTTAGACAATGATGCTTCATCTTATATCAGGCTGCCATAACTGAATACCCCAGACTGGGAAAAAATAGAAATACGTTTTCTCATTTCTGGAGACTGGAAGTGCAAAAACAGGGTGCCTGTATGATTGAGTCTGCTGAGGTCTCTCTTTTTGGCTTACAGATGGTGGCTTTCTCACATAGCAGAGAAAGAGAGAGAGAGAGAGAGAGAGAGAGAGAGAGAGAGAGAGAGAGAGAGAGAGAGA